TGCCTTTGCCTCCTCTGACATGGTCTGTCAGCGGGCTTAAGGTCTTTGAACTGGAACAGGTTTTTTCTTCAGGTGACTCCGTTTCGTATTATAAATTGTCTTATTAGAGTTGGGGCTAGATACCTTCTAGATAGGTTAGCCGGTGTAGTTATAACTGACTAGACCTTCTCAGGACACCCCTTTGTGACCTGAGGGGTCCATTCACTACATTTCCTACATGGGAAATGTTCTTTCAATTGTGGTCTCGGACTACGTCAAAATTTTTCTTATTTGTGTCCTATGAGGATTGCTTCCGGCCTACTCTCGTGCTGGGTCCCATATGGATGGCTTCAGGTTATGTCATGTGGTGTCCTATATGGATAACCACAGGCGTTGTAGTCGCGAGTCATAGTATAGAATGTTTTCCTAAACCACGGGGTTCGTAAAACCACTTATATGGATTTTGGCCCTGTTGAGGATATTCCCTGCGCACACTACGCAGGGAATACTTTGAGGGAGGGGGTGGTGTAACAGTTATTTTTTTTGTGCATTTGTGATACGTACGATATTGATAAAAGCGGCACCTGTTTGGCCGCATCGCTTTGTTGTTGATTTATCTAAAGTAGTTTGTAGCTACGGTATTGATCTCCTTTGTTCACTTTCGGACCACTAGATGGCGTTTGTTTGAGACCTGATAGTTTAATTAAAAAGACTTACTTTTTAATCTGTTCTGTTAATCTGTCATGACAAATTGCATAGGTATTGGGAGTGTTCAGCTATGGTGGAAAGCAAGTTACTTTTGATTTTGTTAGCGTTGTTTTCTTTCTCAATGTAAATGTCAAAGTGAAATGATGAGGAGGGGTTAACTTCTGGAAGATTCCTGAACCGAGGATATATAGGTCCGGCTTTCTGCCACGGGAGACACTCTGCTATCTCGTGTCTTTCAACCTTAAATAGTGTTTTGATTGTCGTGTAATTTGAATTTCGTAATATGTAGTCTGTTATAATCTACCCACTAATGTGGTAAGTATTCTCTCAATTCTTCTTAAACCTATTTGTTTCTGGAACCTGTTTAATTTATATGAGTGCTAATCCATTCGTAGGGTCCCAGATTTCGGGGTCAAGACGGTCAGTCTTAGACGGTGTGCTTGCTCTTTTGTGGCCTTCTGGTACAGACTCAAGTTTCTCAGTACCCTCTGGCAAAGCTGGTGATTGTGCGGCTCACGACGCAAGCGGACAGCCGTACCCAAGAGTTACGTATTTAAACTTATAATTACAAATTGTTAAAACTTTTATCCATATCTAATATAAATAGCCGACTCGGGCGGAAGAGGAAGTAACCTCCTGGAGGGACGACGAGGTGGCACCGAGCACCATCAGCTCGGCTTTAACGCGCTCCGCTGCAGTTTTTTTTTCTTTCTTGTACCCACACTAATTTATTTAATTTTTCATTGTAAATTTGAACTACTTTTTTTTCTGAAATATACATGTATGTATAACTGAGGTGTAAGTTGTTTTCCTCTAGAGAGTCCCATAGGTTTCCCACACGCACACACTTCTATTCTCATACAAGGCGCCCTGAGGTAATCTCTTGAATCTCTCCACTGGGTCAGCCGGTGAGTAGTCCGCCTGAGAAGAAAAGCGGCTACAACTGAGTGCTCAGCGTATACATGAACTACTGAAGTCTCTAGACCTTAATAAGTCAGCTGGGCCCGACACTCTTCCCGCATTATTTTTGGTAAAATGTAGTAAAGAGCTGACGGTACCAGTTTCCATAATTTTTCAGCGTTCTATGAAAGAAGGAGTAATGCCTAAGATATGGAAAGCCGCTTTCGTTACCCCAATACATAAGAAAGGTTCGAAAAATGATATTGTAAACTACAGGCCTATTTCTAAGCTCTGTCATCTAGCTAAAATCTTTGAGCGATTAGTTTTTGATCAAACATTCGAATGTTTAAAAAATGAACTTATTCTTGAGCAACACGGTTTTATCAAAGGTAGATCAACCACGACCAATTTAGTTATCTTTAATGAATATTTAAGTAATAATATGGATAATAATAATCAAATAGATGCAATATATACAGATTATACTAAAGCATTTGATAGAATAGATCACAGAATATTATTATACAAAATGGCAGGTTTGGGCATAGGTGGCAATCTTATTCAATGGTTTGCATCATATCTGACTAATAGAAAGCAAGCTGTTGTTCTAGATGGGTGTTCTTCTAACTGGGTAGATATCCCGTCGGGTGTTCCGCAAGGATCGTTACTAGGACCACTTCTATTTATTTTATTTATCAACGACATTGCTTCCTGTTTTTTAAATTCTAAATTTCTATTGTTTGCTGATGACATGAAGATATTCCGTATTATTAATAATGTTGGAGATGCGTTACTTCTTCAGGAAGATTTAGATAGATTAGACATGTATTGTGAACGTAACAAATTGGACTTAAACGTATCTAAATGCTTTTCTATCACCTTTACACGGAAACGCAACATTTTTATCTTCTCATACAAATTAAAAGGTTGTAGTCTTCAGGCGACTAGTGTGATTAGGGACCTGGGTGTTTTACACGACGGTAAATTGCTGTTTGACCGGCACATCGAACATATTATTGACAAAGCTTACAAAGCACTTGGTTTCATAATTCGCGTTTCCAGACCTTTTAAGCATATGAAAACAATAAAAATTCTCTACTGTGCCTATGTACGCAGCCATCTCGAGTTTTCGAGCCAAATTTGGAATCCCTGTTATAATGTCTACAGTAATAACATAGAGAAAATCCAAAAACGGTTTATCAGATACCTAGGTTTTAAATTCAAACTACCTCATCTCGATTACGAACAGCAATGCAGTAAACTACATCTTTTGCCTCTTTCTCTCCGTAGGAAAATAGCTGATATCTGTCTCCTCTTAAATATAGCTCAAAGCAGGTTAGACTGTCCTGATGTCCTTTGCAATATTAAACTTAATGTGCCCACCAGAAATTTGCGTTCCAGTAGTCTACTCCATGTTCCATTTTGCCACAGTAATTATCGGTATAACAGCTACATACCCAGGGTTTCTAGATCTTTTAATAGACTAAACCACAGTGAACTCATAGATCTATTCTGCAGTAGCACCAGAAACCTCAAAAATGTTATATCTTTAGATCCTAAACTGTTGTAACTATCTATGCATATGTAAGTCTATTTAGTATGTATTATTATAGATACCAGCACTGTTTTCTGTCTACATGTGGAAGCTTGTAAATGGCATCTAGATAATTAACATAATATGTATTTTGTAAATTTAGCCGTAAGCTCCCCAAATATAATAAAATAAATAAAAAAAAAATAATTACCAAAATAACGGTAGAAAAGATAAGGGTCAGTTGTTCCTAAACATCTAAACTTTATTTTCTTCCATTCGCTAACTAATTATAGTAGTGCGATATATTTTTTATTTAGGATTTTTTTATAAGATACGAAATATGTAATTAGTTTTACACAATAAAGAAAAATATTTTTTTTTAATACACCCATACATACGCAAATCAAAATGGCGACATCGGTGTGTATGAACACGAAGGCGGCCATACTTTTACATAGGTGTTCTGTTCTATAATTTGTAAAAATAACGAATTGCACTTCACGTAAAATAACTTCTTTTTCCAATCTCTGTGTGTATAGATAGTTATGGTAGATTGGCATGGGCCATTGCCTGTGAGTAGGTTTGATATGCAATACATATTAGTTGTTCAAGATTCGTTTAGCAAATATATACAGCTCTATCCCGCCAGAAGAGCGAGACAACACAAGCGGCCATAAAGAGTGTAGTTAAGTACTACGGGTTAATGCTAATAATAACCATAGTATCAGATAACGGTAGACAGTTTACTTCGCAGGCATGGTATGAAACATTGCCGGGAATGGGAATACGTGTTTCACATACTACAGTACGGAACCCGAGACCGAATAGTACTGAAAGAGTGACTAAGGAGTTAGGGCGATTAATGAGAAAGGCGTCAACAACCGTCTATTATACCTTTTACGGAAATTTCTGGTATGAATAAAGAAATTTCTACTATATTAAAAGACGCAGACGCGGGCGCTTTTTATAGTCTTTTAGTGCCTGATGAAATTTTTTTAACGTGATTACAGAACAGACCAACTTATTTGCCTTACAATCTTGCGAATCCAGAAATTTAAAACCTTCATCAAGATCTCATGCTTGGAAACCAACTGACAAACATGAAATTAAACGTTTCTTTGGACTTTTTTTATATATGGGTCTTGTAAGACTGCCAAAGCTAAGTTATTACTGGAGCAAAGATAAAATATTAGGACAAACATTCCCATCTACCGTCATGAGCCGAAATGGATTTGAAATTATTCTACAGTATTTACATTTCAGTAATAATGAAACAGCAAATAAAGCGGATCGAATCTTTAAGATAAGGCCGATTACGAGTATAGACATGGTCAGTATTACATTCCAAAAATATTATTCACCAAAAGAAGACATTTGTGTACACGAAAGTCAGGTGCCATTCAGACGACGTATTGTCTTTAGACAATACAACAAAAGTAAACGCTATAAATATGGTTTAAAGCTTTTTAAACTGTGCACTATCCCGGGGTACACCTGCAAATTCTCATTGTATAGCGGTAAAAATATTGACACAGTAAACACCACGCCTACTAAAGTCGTAATGTCTCTTTGTAGCCAAATATTGAACAAAGGGCACACTTTGGCAACAGATAATTGGTACACAAGCTTAGAGTTGGCTTACAATTTATTGGAACATCAAGCGCACTTGATTGGAACTATTAGGAAAAACCGAAAAGGTTTACCCAATAGTGTAGTAGAAGCCAAACTTCAAAAAGGAGACTTCATGGCTATGGAAAACGAGGACGGTATTACCATATTGAAATGGAAAGATAAGCGGGATGTGATGATGTTGTCTACTAAACATTCTGATAGAATGTCAACAATCACCAAAAAAAAGCAAACAGGTTACTAAAGGGATATGAGCGACCAAATGTCGTCGTATTCTTCTCCCTTGCGCAAAACTGTAAAATGGTACAGGAAAATTGGCATTGAGATTTTGTTGAATACTGCCATAGTTAATGAATGGATTATGTTTACCGAAACTAGGAACACAAAAATGTCCATCGTAGAGTTTCGGAAGTCTCTAGTAGAGTATCTAACATGTTCGTCAGATTCTCAAGAGAATGAGTCAATAGTCACGGTATCAAGACCCAAACCATTAAAGCAGGAGTTGCAAACAAAATCCGGAAAAGTTAGGAAAACTAGACGATTTTGTGTACAGTGTTACAAAGATATGGTAAAGAAAGTTGGACGAAAACAGGCGAAAACTAAAGCTAAAAAGGAAAATACTTTTTGTGCTCAATGTGATGGAGAACCACATATCTGTTTAACTTGTTTTAATAAATTTCATCTTTATGTATAGTTATTATGTTTAGTTAATTAATTTAAGTTTTGTGATTGCATTTGTTTTAGTACTTATTTTCGTAGGATTCTCTGTAATTTTGTATCTCTGGAAAATGTTTTTTTTTTAAAGTTCTTGTTTGTTGTATATTTTTTCATAACGTGCATAATAATAATTTTAAGTTTGATTAAAAACATTTATCATGAAATTAAGTCGTTTTCTTACTTATCCTGAGGAGTTTGTCCATATATCATTATTTTTTGTAAGTAACTGTGTCCCCTTGAAAAGGATTATTCTGGAGCTCCACGCCGGCCACTCGCATACACGAAGTAAGCGATACGCGTGACCGGCGGCCCAAAAATACATTTAGAATATGCCTTTCGCTTGAGGTCACCGGTGACCCCCATGGCGCAATAAAGTAAACCAGATGAGGTCACCGGTGACCCCCATGGCGTTTAAGGTGTTAACAAGTAATGTTTAGTCAAATGAGTAAAAATCTAACAGCAATAGACGGTTTTTTTTTATTTTATTTATTTTAAGGTGTGTGTTCTAAAGAGAGGCCTATGTCCAGCAGTGGACTATTATAGGCTATTGATGGGATGTGAAGGTGTGCCCGTTTATCACAGCTGGTGCCGTTTACTATAAAACAAAATTATGTGTACATAATTTCACAATCTACGATTTAGCCTCACATGTACATGTTACTGGTTTACTGAAACTGAAGGTGATCTATCAGCATCTACCTATGCGTCATTCATCATTGATTACTTGTCCCGCCATTGCCTGCCCAAACGTTTACCCATACTAATATACTCCGATGGCTGCACAAGCCAGAACCGCAATAATATCCTATCGAATGCACTATTAAATTTCTCCATGCAACATGAAGTGTATACTCGTATAATACTTTTACGAAGGAGATTGTGTGCAATCCATTGACCAAGTGACTTCCTCTCAATTACTAAAGAAGCTCGCAAAAATCCCTGTGAGTACGAAGCTGTGATGGTACACAACACATTTTTCAGAAATTTTTCGGCTCTTGAAACATGGTGCTATACTTCTATTCGATCGGGTCGCAAAGCTGGACATCCAAAAGTTACGGATATAAAGGCAATTCTTTATGACAACACTGGCCTGATTAAGTTTGAATTGGACTTTGATTCCGATTGGGATAGCCTCCCTCAAAGAGTCAATAAAATTGCCATCATTAGAGAATAAGCGCCCCTGCATAGAAATAGAATACCTATAACATACCAAAAATTTAAACATTTACAGAAATTGAAGTCTGTAATCCGGATCCGGTAAACCTACTTCCGTAACATCTCTGGTACCCAATACGCGATATTATAAGTTTTAGGATTGAAGTTATTTTTAACACTAGAAAGACCATGGCCGTCAATTTGACGCACAGCGATTTCATTCTCAAATATTTTACAAACTATGTTTTTATTTCTTTTCATATTTTATGACTTTTCCTAATTTGCTATTGTTAGGCTAAATCTATATTAAAAATATTAAACTATATGTTGTATATGATATTCCTTTACAAATACCTACTAAGACCGCACACCGTCAACGTGACCGCATACCAAGGCAGCGATAAGAATAGTAAACAACGATTTATTCAAACTATGATGATGAGCAGTTATTTCCATCAAAAACTCGCTGTCTGTTTTTACAATATATTGCAAACAACCCTGATAAATTTGGTATAAAGTTTTGGCTGCTTGTGGATGTCGAGAGTAAGTATCTATGTGGAGGATTTCCATATCTTGGAAAAGACGACAACCGTTCAAACGATATTTCATTATCCGATTAAGTAGTTTTGAAACTGGTACAACCCTATTTGAAAAAGGGCCGAAACGTTACCACTGACAACTTTTTCACGTCTCTAAATTTGGCTAAAAAACAATGCGGCCTGCAAGACGAGAAGTACCGCCGATTTGTAGAAGTATGCGTACTACAATATATGAAACTTTTATAATGAAAACCGAGACCCTTACTGTCTATCAAGGAAAACCAGGAAAAAATGTTATTATTTTGAGTACTCTGCACCCCAACGTGAGCATAGGTACTGATCGAAAACAGCTACCTGATGCCAGTATTTTAAAAGACGTCTCAAGTATCGGTTGAACTCTGATTGCCCGAAACTAGTTTTAAGTGCAGATCAAATCTTAAGTATCGATCTTATTATAGAACGCGTTTTAAGTTTTACTCACCTAAAACGGGGTGAATAGAAATATTCTTGGGAAAAAGCCTGATATTCGAAAACTACTATAAAAATCGCAATAGTGTTTTTTGTTTTTACAATGGCAACATTTTTTTGTTGGTCTGACAACATTTGAATAGTATGAAGTTAGCAACTTATATCAAAAAAGTGAGTTCAAAGTGCAACGGTTGTGTGTGTGTCTTCTCTCTAGTTATTATTTAAATTGTGTTTTTGATAGTAAAATAACTTGATTCGACGGTGAAGTGTATCCAGAATAAATTGAAAAGGTAAGTTTTACTGATTAGTTTGATTTTTATTTGTAAATTAGTAAAATAACTGCACCCATAAATATTTCTCGATTAAGAGGTGAATAGAGACGACTGAGGGGTGAATAGAAACGCCATATGAGGTGAATAGAGACGGGAAAGGGGTAAATAGGAACGAGAAAGGGTTTAATAGAAACGCCAAAGGGGTTTTTAGAAACGCTTTTGATAGGGTTGGCACTTTATGCAGGTTGTTGAGTTTTAACTTTATTACCTACCTACATTTTTAAAAAGTTGATTTTTTAATATTGAATTATTGATTTTGTGTACGCAGGAATAGTTGCCAGCAATATGCCACGCAACTACAAACCATACCCTCGGGGTAAGAAATATATAAAATATGACTTCAACTTAATACAACAGGTTGTTAATGAATATTCTGCGAGTAATTGTTCTCTTGATACTATCTCAAAGAAATATAATATACACAGATCTGTTTTATACAGACACCGCACAAAAAATATGAAAAGTCAAGGAGGTCAAACTGTTTTATCCAAAGAAACTGAAGAAGAATTTATTAAATACATAAATATATGTGCTGACTGGGGCTATTTTTTGGAGGCGTATGATTTAAGAGTACTTGTTAAGGTCTATCTTGATGAATTAGGTGTGAATGAAAAGAGATTTAATAATAATATGCCTGGACCAGATTTTGTCTCCTCTTTTATGAAAAGGCACAAAGATGCAATTTCTCAGAGATTATCGCAAAATATAAAGCGAAATCGGGCTGCTGTTTCCCCTGAAATAATAAAAAAATACTTTGAAGAATTAGAAATTTCATTATCAGGCGTACCTATGTGCAATATTATAAATTACGACGAGACGAATCTTTCGGATGATCCTGGGCGGCAGAAAATAATTACAAAAAAAGGCGTGAAATATCCAGAGCGGGTGATGAACCACTGCCGTTTCTATTATGATTGCGTGCACAGCTAAGGGAGAATTACTGCCTCCTTATGTTGTCTATAAAGCACAACATTTGTATGACACTTGGACCGTTAAGGGGCCAAAAGGGACTCGTTACAATAGATCACAGTCAGGTTGGTTTAAAGGAACCATTTTTGAAGACTGGATTAAATCGGTAATCATACCCTATTTTCAAGGAGTATCCGGAAGAAAAATATTGATCGGTGATAATTTATCGTCGCACCTTTCATTAGATCTAATTAAACTGTGCCATGAAGAAAACATAAGTTTCGTATTCTTGCCAGCTAATTCTACCCACATCACACGGTTTTCTAATATATTATGTACACTCTTTTATTTAATTATCTCTGTGACGTCATACTAGGTACCTAATATAAAATATTTTGACAACCCTATCACTTTTCTCTATTAACCCCATACGTCGTATCTATTGACCCCGTATTCCTCGAAAATAGAAATTGACCAGGTTTTTGTCTTTTTCTCCTAAGTAGAGAATAATTTGGCATTAAAATTGTAATTAGCTTGTAAAATAACATAAGACTCCCACAATGAACGCAGCTATATTACCCGAAACTTACAATTTATATTATTAAAGTCGGTTTGAAAGTCTAGATTGTTTCTATTTACCCCGTTTTACGGCAGTTGAAACTATACTAGGTATAATAATTCGATTCCACATAATTGACATTAGCTACTGTCATTTTGTAAAATACTGATACCACATATTATAGTGTAGTGATGAACACAAAAATCGATAAACAATCGCGATTTATGTTTATGTAATCATAATATTGGTGTGGCAATTAAAGACTAAATTATTGATTTTTGTTTAAATAAATACATAATTATTCATAATAATTATTTATTAATTAGTAACCGCTGCTTTATTTTATAAAAAGTTAATATTTTTGTTTTTTATATTAAAAACAAAACTTATAATAAAAGAGCCTAGATAGTTTTCTGTATTGGCAACCCGTGCGCGCTCGTGCAGCTATCATACTGTAAAAAAAACTTGGGTGAACAAGAAAGTCACATCATCTCGGCAAGCGTTTTTGGAGGGACTGACCACTGGATTAAAAAATCCATCTGGAAAAGGCAAATGTCTCATAATTAGCCATGTAGGTAGTGAAGAAGGCTTCCTGGAAGAGGGGCTCATGATTTTTGAAGCAAAGAAAAATTATGAAGATTACCATGATGAGATGAATGCAGTTTGTTTTGAGGAGTGGTTCGCTGGAGTCTTACCAAAATTAAGACCAAACTCAATTGTGGTGATGGATAATGCACCTTACCACTCCCGAAAATTGGAAACGGCACCAAAAAATGAGCTGGAAAAAAGCTGCCATTCAAGACTGGCTTTTAAATAAAAATATTCATTACGAACCAGATATGGTTAAAGCTACGCTTTTAGAACTGATTCCACATAACGAGTCTTTTAATAAGTACGCTGTAGACGAAATGGCAGCACAACATGGGATCACGGTTTTAAGACTGCCCCCTTACCATTGCGAGCTGAACCCTATCGAATTGATATAGGCGCAGGTAAAGGGGCATGTAGCTCAAAATAATAAAACCTTCAAATTGACAGACGTGCGAAATTTATTTGAGGAGGGCATTCAAAAAATTACGGCTACCGAATGGTCTAAATGCGTATCCCATGTTGTCAAAGAAGAGGCAAAAATGAGTAGGCTAGATATGTTAATTGACAATATCACAGACACATTTATAATAAATGTTACAGAAAGTGACAGCGATAGCGATAGCGATGACGGCAACGGTTTATAAAATAAAATATTACCATAATACATCTATTTGTTTTATTTCTCATGTTCCTTTATGATCACATTTTTTTATTTATTTCACACACAATTATTAAAGAAAACTCTCAGATCCTTAATAAAATTAATCGTCATAACTAAATTATCCGTTCAGAAATATTTAATTTCCTGATATACTTAGTTTCTATTACAGTAGTAGTTGTTTAGATATACTACTATAAACGAGAGGAATCGATCCGGGAATATTCCATTTCCGTATCGAATAATTTCGCAACGTCACTATTTAGTACTTGTCATAACGGTGCAACACTGAAATTGTCAAATCTGGAATCGAATTAAAAGGTAAAGTCCGTCTCATGAGAGAAGTCCCGCGGCAAAAAGTGGAACTAATTATGACAAATCAGCCATGTTGTCGTTTGGTTTCGTTGTCAGGTGATGTTATCGTGTTCGGACTATTGAGATTTTTATTAATTTTCCATAGTTAAAGTGCTGTTTACAATGCCTAAAGTTATAAAAAGTGCTGGCCGAGAAATTATATTGAAGGTAAAGGAGTTTTGTGATGCAGAACAGCGCAATCATGGCGTTTTGATACCAATAAACAACGTTCGCAAGAGAGTTGCCGCCATGACAGGTACGTAATTGGGGCTACCAGCTATGTAATTTTTACCATTCTATTTGGGACTTTAACTTGTGTGTTTAATGCGTATATAATTAACATTCTGTATTAAGGTTGAAGTATTTTTAGGGTTTCGTACCTCAAAAGGAAAATACGTTACCCTTATTGGATTGTTCTTGTGTATGTCTGTCTGTCATCATTTTCTCGAGAAATAAAAAAAAATGATTTCTGATTTAATTGATAAGTTTTGGGGGTTAAATTGATGGGGAAGAAAATGAAACTCCCCAATAGTCTAGATAAATAAAGAATATTATTATAATATTAAAAGAATATTATTTTATTTACCAATTATTTTTTTTTCAGGTGTGTCTGAAAAAACTGTTTCAAGAATAACACAAGAAGGAAAAACAGCTTCAAGGACTTCAAAAAAATTGTCACACCTGGGAAAAGTCGTCCAAAAAAAAAAAAACTGGATGGTTTCGATCTCTGTGCTATTCGCCATAAAATTCAACAATTCTATACAGTAAAAAAAGAGCTGCCTACTTTAAACAAATTACGTGCAGTGTTGAAAGAAGATATTGATTTTGAACACCCTGCACAGGATATTGAAAAGCATTAGATTTAAATACATACGATGCCAGTCTAAAAGAAAAATATTAATGGAGGGTTATGATATAACTGCTTGGCGCGCTAGATATATCGAAAAAATGCGCGAAAAATAGAACCATCGATAAAAGACCTGTGGTGTTCTTGGATGAAACTTATATCCACAACACATACCATACCAAAAGTTGTTGGCAAAGTGATGAACAGCAAGGACTTTTCACTTCAGAGTCTGCTGGGAGTAGATGGATAATCGCTCATGCTGGTTCTGAGAATGGCTTTATAAATAATGCTTTTCTAATCTTCAAGTCACAGTCAAAGTCGTCTGATTATCATGACGATATGAATTCAAGCAATTTTCTAAAATGGATGACTGAAAAATTAATACCAAATTTGCCAGAAAGGTCTCTAGTGGTTATGGACAATTCTCCATACCACTGCACGCAAATAAATAAGGCACCAACCATGTCAAATTTAAAAGCTGACATGCAAAAGTGGTTGCAAGAAAATGGCGTTTATTTTGAAGAGAGCTGGACAAAAGCCATATTGTTCGATTTAATTAAACAAAATAAAGGAACACCAACTTATGCTGTGGATGAACTCTTAAAAAATCACAACCACGAAGTTTTAAAACTGCCACCGTATCATTGCGATCTGAACCCAATCGAAAAAATATGGAGTCTTGTAAAAAGACGCGTGGCTGAGAAGAATGTTGACCAAGACACGAAAAAAATTGTGAAATTGACGGAAGACGCGTTTGCAAGCGTCACACCAGAAGATTGGTTTAAACAATGCAAACATGTGGAGCATCTAGAAGATGAATATTTCAGAAACGACAGGTTGATAGATGAAGAAATGGAACGGTTTATTATATCTACAGAAAATGATAGTGAAACAGAGTCTGATCACGATAGTGATATTGATGAAGATAATTCAGATAGTGACTGCAGTATGTCTGGAGTAAACCCTATTGATGACCACAATTATACAATAAAAATTTAAATGTTTTTTTTTATTTTATTAACACAATCATAAAAGTATTTAAATGTAGATGTACTTACTGATTATCACATAATATTAGTATGTAATGTTTATATAGTCTATATGATCATATTTGTATATTTTATTAATGTTAAGTACATACTTAAGTTTTTAGATATATCTCTTTTTACAACACCACCGGTCCACCGCTATCTTTTTACTCCTTAAACTTATTTCATTTATATATTCATTAAAAGGTTATCTGGAAAAGATCGCTATTATCGATAAGATCGCCCACTGCCTATTTTTACTAAAACTAAAATCGAATTCATCCTGAAATGTTTTTAAATTGGAATTTTGGGAAGTCTCTAATATTAGAGGTTAGCAACATTCCGTCGCATGACTGTAGCGCCGCGTCTGCGAGACTTCTTTCGTGAGACGGACTTTATACTATAGTTTCAAGTATTGATTTTAACTTACAGTCTGTTCTCAATTACGTTTTCGCATGGTTGACATTATTATTCCGCAGTACGCAGCTAATTATTTAATAAAATAATTTTCTTTTACAAACATAATTTTTGTGAATTTGTATATAATATACTATTAGCTAGTGTAGCAATGTCAACATATTAATAAGCTTGTTGTTCGTTCAAAATTAAATATAATAAATATTAAAATAATAATAATTCTTTGTGTTATATTACGTTACATAGATATATTCACACAGGAGGCATTCTGACCGCAGCGATCAAGTAGAACGCACGCGTTCACGCGTTCACTGCTGTTTCGGCGACCAAATTGGAAGGAAGATGGAGATCGAAAAGCTGATTATGTTAGTACGTAAAAGGCGTTTTTTATACGATGCTAAGGATAAAATTACAAAAACCGTGGAATAATAGCCGAAGCATGGTTGGAAATTGCCAGAGAAATGGGAAACAAAAATGGTAAGTCATAAAATAGTGTTTTGGTTTACATGACGCTGCACGAATGGCGCAGTGGTTTAAGCGGTCGCCACGCCGCTTCCTACTGCACCG